GTAGAGCTTTCCCATTTACGGTCGAATAAGGATAAGGTGAAGGTTATATGGTGGGTGAAGCGTTCATTTCCAGCCAGGCTTCGATAATTTTTGCTGTGTCACCTGCATAGCATTGGTCCTTTGCGACTCGCCAATTTCTGAAAGCGTTTTTAACCGCACCATGAAAGTCTGATAAGTGGAGGTTCAAGTTAACATTCTGGCTCCTTGAAAGCACTTCCAACTTCATCTCACTTTTGTAATCTTACCAAATTGGTGTAGTGGCCTTACCTCGAATAAGGTTAGCGCTACTTCGTTTGAGTAGGTTCACCCGCTGTTCATCATGATCATTTGCGGGTAAAATTATTGTAAGCATTCCGACTTTCTAACAGCAGCTACTTGGATCATAAACGGATGGTTGCCATTGCGTTTGTAGCTCAAATCGTAGACACTATATCGCGGCCTCAAGTGGATATCCTTCATTCGTTGGCACCTGAACTTCCAGCTTATTTTTTAATTCGAGTCTTTCGATATTTTCGTAAACTATCCCCATGAAGGCGTTTTCCGTTGAGTACTACACATGGGTTACACAAAGATTGGCTCTGGTCAATGCCACCAAAAGATGGCCATCCACGCCGACCTTGCAGTGGTAAATTGATGGGACGAAAAGTTGTGGACTGTTGTTTACATTTTTTCTTTGTGATCTAATTTTGTTAATTGAGTGTTTATTCTGTTCTTTGTTTCTTACCACAACTTTACAACTTTCACAACTTTGAAATAAGGTGTTGCCTCATAACGTTTTGCTTATATAGTGGAAAGTACCAGCAGATTGTTAGCAAAGATAGAACTAAAAAAGTGAAATGTGATGTGATAAATAAAAAACGTTAAAACTTCTGAAAGTTTCCTCAAACAAGCGTTAAAGAAGTCGATCTCGAAAATTGCAAATACTTACCGAACGACCGCTTGCGTCTCTCCGTTTGTTTGTACGGAAATTCGATATCGCATGAAAAAGCACTTGCAGAAGTCGGGTCACTTTTGGGACGGGTTGGGCAAAGGGCAAGACCCAAAAGAGCACATGTGAGTTAGGCGGAGCTCCGTTCACAGGTGACGTGCATGCAGAGAAGAAGCCGGTGTCATGATCAATACCTCTCAATTAGGTTTCAAAGCAGCATAGAGAAAAAATGAACAAAGGTCAGAGATCAGTTAAAAAGTGGGAGAGGAGACCCGTCGACGGTGGGTGAAGCGTTTTTGCAGAGGGCGGTAACTTCCCTATGAGTTTAACTCGACTCAGCGACAGCAAGAGAGCCAGAAAAAAATAAAAAGAGTGAGCAAAGCTTTCTGCGTGCTGGGTATACATACGTAAACATAGCAAAGTTGCACGCGATAGCCAGAGCATGCGCTCCATATTAGGTTCCTTTCTGTTGAAAAATGTTCTACAAAGTGGAAAGTAAGTGGTCAGAGGCCATACAAGGAATGTTCAAATCCCTGAAGTGGACGTGGTATACACTAGGTAGGCGGATCTGGGATCGAAAATTTATACTCTGTTCGAAAATGATCTAGCACGCGGCAAATAGTGGTTGAAGATATCAGAAGAAGTAGGCCCAAATCTCTAACAAGGGAAGGATACTTGGTCGCAGTGGCCATTCAAGATGAGATGTATGCCCCCTATGTGGTTTCGAACGCTGATCTCAAATCTGTGTTCCNAATCTGCGAAACAGTTCTGGGAACAAAGTTACGGGACCGATGCCTCACTGTGTTATACCACGCTAACGAACGGATCACCGAGCCGAGCAAGGCTGCTGAGTGTGCGTTGATGGCCTAGCGGATAGTGCCATAGATTGATAGGAATGACATCGGGGTTCGATTCCTTGATGCATACGTTGGTTTTGCTTTTCATAAAATGCGTTCTAAACGCTTGCAAAACGTTTTTGGCTCAATATTGGGCATCTATGGGCCTCTCTCACAATTTGAGAACACTGGAAAGGTATTTCAGGGGAAGTTTTTTTTGTCCCTCACCGGCCGAATAAGGCTGGAGCTATATTTGAACAACGGAGGAACTCCAAATATTCGCTCAGAACGAGCTTAAGAGCCCTCAAGGAGAAATTTGCGATTGAAACCTCCCACGTTTATGGGGATACAGAGGTTCCGAACTGAAACGTAGCCCTTAAGTTTGATCTGGCCCATGATCTCCAATTTTACGGCGCTGGTGGAGCCTACAGCTCTCTATAGTTGGATTGTCAAAAGAAGCCGCCCTTCTCAAACATGAGGAGCAGGTTCTGTACCTCCTCGACAGAGTGCCGTGCACGGAAATTAAGAGGACCTGGGCTTTAGATTAGTCTATTATTGACAACTTGCGATGTCTCATGTGGTCACAACTATCAGGTGCAAAACAAGCGGGTGTATCTGCCTACCTATGAAGATCAGCGGGTCAATTAGAAAGATGAGTCATCATAAAATTTATAAAGGAGTCCCATTGCACGAGAGCCATTTCCACTGGATACCGCCTCAAATCAACAATCCATAGGGGGAAAATTCAAAACAGTTCATAGGTGGAATCGGCGTTTTGAGGACAACTGTGGTATCATGTCCCACCGCATCACCACTTTTCCTTTATGGAAGGGCTCCTTGAAAGGACGTTTACCTTAAGAATGAGCGGATAATCATATATGCACACAAAGCAATGAACTATTGCTCTACAGTACTTCTTCAACAATGCCATTTAACTTGTACCACCTCTTCGAAGGCGCGTACAGTATTCCTAGTATGTTTGAACCGTATCCCTTCCAAAGAGGGCTCTGGTTGGATGAATCGATAGACCGCAGTCGACCACTGCGACCTACCATAAGTACAGGGACCTGCCGAAAATTTCGAAACACCATCTTGACTCTTCGTGGTAGAGAGGCCTACATAATCGCTCGGTAGTGGTAAAAAATTTTTCATTAGATTTATATTTCCCGGAGTCTTAAATTGTGCGGAAGCTCCGGAGATGCCCAAAATTGGGCCCAAAAACGTTTTGCAAGCGTTTAGGACACATTTTATGGAAAAGCAAAACGGGCACATGCATCAAGGAATCGAACCTTGATGCCATGTCTACCAGTCCCCTACACTACCCGCTCGGCCACCATTGCACAGGTGCGGTCTTTGTTCGGCTCGNTGATCCGTTCGTTAGTATGGTATAGCACAGGGAGGCATCGGTCCCGCAACTTAGTTTCCAGAATCGTTTCGCAGATTTGGATACAGATTGAGACCAGCGTTCGAAACCACATAGGAGGGTATACATCTCATCTTGAATGGCCACTGCGACCAAGTATCCTTCCCTTGTAAGTCATCGTGCTCCAATGTTCAGAGGCGGTAACATATGGGCGATAGATAGGAACAGTTCAATAAATCAGGCGAAGGAGACTCATAGGAAGCGAGCGAAGCGTACCCAAAGTTATTGCATAAAGCCATAGCTCACCAAAACATATAGCCAGATTTTCGAGGGGTAGAGCTCATATAGAAAAGCTGATCTCCGTTTGATGCTTCTTTGTTGTGACGCACGCGTTAGTATGCGAAGCCCAACTGGTGGGTGTATACATGTTGAAAGTACACCTGTGAAAATATGTGTTTACCACACCTTCCTGGCTAAAATCCCGGTGATTTCCATGAAATCACTTGTGTTTTGAAGCACCAAGATTCGATGTCTAGGTGGTTCCACTAGCACAACCTCAGCTCCCTAAAACCATTTTCCTAAAAATTTCCATTCCAGTCTCACTTCCATTCTATTCTGCAAGTCGGGTTCTCCTGTTACAGATGCGAAGCACCGATCACGACAACCTGTGCAAATTCTACGGAATCTCCTTGGATGGTCCGTTGGTTTTGTCTGTGTGGAAATATTGCTCAAGAGGATCGCTGAAGGTTGACATTCTTTTTGTTTAAATCAGACTACAAGAGATTTGTTTCTTTCAGGATGTTATAGCAAAAGGCTCACTTCAAATGGATTGGTTCTTCAAATATTCGCTTATTAGGGACATTTGCGAGGTACGAATGAGGGACCACAATTTAAGGGCCATACAAAACAAATTGATGAAAGGGATTATAGGGTATCTACTATCTGCATCACTCAAACCTCGGCGCACACGGTTGGATTAGTTCGGGCACGTGTTTGGTCGACGAAAGGTGGCAGGTCAATTCTGAATATAAACAGCAGCTTCTCTTAGCCAGCCGGCTTCTTACATCCATTTTGCTTTAACGCATGCAAGTTCGAAGCCTTTTTAATCACAGATGGAGGTAGACAACCAGCATCATGATATATCATGGTAGTGTTCTTTAAAAAAACAAATAACAATAAATGTCTAATGACCACCTAGCCGGAAGCAGACTTGAGTATTAGTTATTTATTTATTTACTTTGCTCCCAAGCAACGGTCTCGAATACTAGTGAAAAGGCGGAAGGTGAGCTATCAACTTGCGGAGGGGAGAAGAAGAGCAAAGACTATGCACATATCACACACACACACCACACACACACACTCACACACACAACACACACATGCAACACACATACGACACGCTCAAACACACATACACGCATACACACATACACACACTTACAAACCCGGTTAATCTTCAGTATCTCCTTATTCAGAAAAAGGAACATCCCCTGGTCAAAAACAACTTCCCAAGTAAAATCTAACCGGAGCTCTCTTTGTGCTCCTGACTTTTTAGTTTTTTGATTTTTCTTATGCTATGCTTATAAGTTGTATGGGTACGCACGCGTTGTTAGTCCACCGCGAAATGCATCTACGCCATCGGTAGCGAAAAGAATGCTTTAAGGCAGGAAGATTCGGCGTTTTCCTCTGGCATCACTATCTGTGTTAGCTCCTGTGTCGGCCCTGCGCTTTGACGACGGCATCCACGTACGTGTTGTTACCTCAACATCCTCTTTGCCGTCCCATCTACTGCTCCATCTCCCTCTTCCATTTCACCCTTCTCATACTAACCTGTCGGCATGTGCCCTTCGCTTACCGCTCTTAAAATTCACCCATGGGAACTGTATGGCTCAATGACCAAACCATCGTCGCAGATCACGCCTACTTGACCGCCTCCTTCAGCAGACTACAATGCATGAGGCAGAGTAAGGCAGCGATAATTGGCACTGAATATAGCGCTTACACAAGGGTGTGTCGAGATCAACAATTAATCAGTACTTCCATAAAGCTGAAAGAGTTGATCCCCAAGTTAGCGCAATGCAAAAGGATAGCGATTAGACGTGTTTTGAACCTGCAACTGCTAAAGATCAACTGGTTCTTTGAAGAAAATTTTGCCTTATATTTTCAGGTCAAACTAACTTTCTATGGGTTGGACGCTCTGAAACTGACGGAAGTACGAGAACAGCAAGGTATCCCATCTCAGTTCCTCTTTTGTAATTAGCGGGAAAGCAATCACGAGTCAAACTTTTCAGACTATCTCTGGGTGGCACCTGAACACATCCGCGACCATGCGCTTCGACCGACTAAGGAAGGAGACCTATACAGGTGCGTATTTCCGAGTAACACTACTGGGAACAGGAACTGGTGGTGTTTTCGAAATGCAACAAAAAAGGCATACAACTGGCTCTGTGCAATGTGCGGATCTCTGTGCGAATGTTGCAACCTTAACAGCTTTTGCAATGCTTGAGCATTCGTTCGCCGTAAGGTATGCGTCGGCTAAGCCAGCTTTAAGACTCTTGTTAAACCCGATCTTGGCCGACCTTAGGCTATCCTCGGGGGTCACAGGTTCATCCAAAGAAGAAATCTTAGAATCCATCTTTAAGTGAACTGTGCTTTTGGGTCCTTCCAAAAATGCCGAAATCAGCTCCCCGATAAAAAGGAACGTAGGTTTTGATGGGTGGAAGCTATCCCATTGTCTGAAAAATCTTACGGCATTTTTCAATTTTTCAGTTTCGCCATTGTCTGTTCGGAGATAATCACTAAGAAATCTGCATGGGATCTTGAAAATCTCGACTATGACCTAGATGGTATGTTATGAGTTGTTTAGGGAGTCGGTATTTGATTCCACGCTAATTACTTCGCACCTTCCTAGCCCATCCACTCACCCGCCTGTGGGGTGACCTCGCTTAATTGGTTGGCTGCTGACCTCTCTGTCAGTCTGAGTGAACTGATATTGATCTTATGGATTGGAAACTTTATTATTATTATTATTATTATTATTATTATTTGTTATTATTGCACATTCTGAATTCTGGATTTCTGAAAACGAAGGGTTTTGGTTCACGAAACTCACAGTGCTTTCGGGTGCTGAGGATAAATAAAAGGAATTCGGTGCTACAGCACTCGGGTAACAGAAAGTGAAGTTGCAAGTGGTAGAAGGGGTGAAGGTGCATAAAATAGGGGTGGTGCAGTGCATTGTGGTGGGTTAGCTAAATACAGGGACTCGTAGGAATAAGAAGGAGCAACAGGAGCAGCTAATCCTGGTTGAAGCCGGAGAAGGCGTTGTAGACGAATTCAGAGTAGTACAAGTGAGACATCGTGCTCATGCTATGACAGTCACACTACACACGTGATTTATAACGCTTTCATCCNCTTTTTAGTTTTTTGATTTTTCTTACTTCGAGATTGAGCCATTCATTTTCCCATTCTGCCTCTCCAACAGAGTTTGATCTTTTCATATGCTTATAAGTTGTATGGGTACGCACGCGTTGTTAGTCCACCGCGA